GTGTGTGTAAGAGCACGAATAATTGCTTTCTCCCCAAAACTCCCAGCTCTAATCTTCATCTCTCGTCTTCCTTTAAACAAATTCCCCTTTACGAATTGTCTTCAGAGCGTCTGGTCTCTCGTCCGCTGCTGATAATTCTCCGTCTGAATGGACTGAAATGTAAAGGGGTTTGTTAAGAGTCTTTGAGTGCTGTGTTGTGTTAGGAATAGTGTGCTGATAACGGCGGTGAGGACAGACGCGTGTCGCTGTCAGCACCATCTTTAATGAGAGCTCCTTCCTTTGATTCCCGGCATTAATTAAGACGCGCCGCAGCAGGAATAAACTCCTGAGATGCTTTTCATTGACATCCAGAGAGAAACGTTCAGAAAAAGACAGAATTGTGTCTGCAAACACAATATATGTGAATAACACAGTATTTTATTTGACTATTAGCTTATCTTTCTCAATCTGTCGGTGTGATTGACTGCGTTTGTCCAGTTGACTTGTGTATGGTTTCTGAGAACAGTCATAAAAATGGAATATATATTCATGCATTAATTATATATAATTAATGAGAATGTCAAAAAAAATTATGATTCGCACAAAAACGCAAAGGTTTTTACAACAACAATATAAATGACAATAATTTATAACAATATAAAAGTCTGGAGTAACTTTAAGAAATTAGGACAGAAATACCTTACAATTACAGTAGAATGTTCTTCACAAAGAAATAATAGTGACACAAAAATAATAATAATAATAAAACTTTATTTTTTTAAGAAATATCACACAAATTATTTGCCAGAATAATAAAAATAATTGTTAAATTTTCATTTAATTAAATTTAAAAGAATAATTAAAATGTTAATTTTAACTGTCTGGGGAAAATAAAATAAATTAATAAATAAATAAATAACATATCATAAAATAAAACATTTAATCAAAAAAGTAATAGATTAATAAATTGTTCAAGATGAATGAATTCAATTAATTTAATGTGATTTTGAGTGTTAAAATTGTTAACTCTGAGCTATTAGAACAGAATCCAGAAAAAATAAAACTGAAAACAGTGAATTTCAGGAAAAAAAAGACAAAATTTGAGGAAAAAATAAATCTAATTTCATAGGGCTCGTTTTTATTTACTTACTTTGTTTTGTTTTTTTTACTAAATTTTATTACTTTTTGATTAATAAAAATGATTTCATAGGGCTCTAAAAAAAGTAATTTTTGTTAAATTTGGAATAAATTGTTAAATAGTTTGCGTTATGATTTCAAATAAGCAGACATGCTTTTTGATCAAATTAAACAAAATCCAGAAAAATTGAAACAGAAAAAGCAGCATCCAAAACAAATGTAAACAGATAAAAAACTGAATTTGAAAAAGAGATGTCATACAGCTCTACTCATGTTGAAGGCAGGGATCTCGTCTGTTCTTCTCGTGTTCAGTCCAGCAGGAGACACTGGTGTTTAAGAGCTCCAGACAGGAGGAGCAGAGTTTGTGATCTTCATCGCATCAGATCTTTGACAGACAGTCATAGTTTTGTCTGAGAGAATAGAAACAGAATACAACATTTCACTTGGGCTTGAAACAAAACTGGAGTTATTTTTATCTGAATAGTGCAGTCAGCTTTACTGTTTCTCCTCAACACACACAGTCAATTAAGGCAAATGAAGGAGTGTGTGTGTGTGTGCCAGTGTGTGCCAGTGTGTGCGTGCGTGTGTGTGTGTGTGTGTGTGTGTGTGCGCAAGTGCGTGTGTGTGTGTGTGCAAGTGTGTGTGTGTGTGTGCGTGTGTGCATGAATGACATTCATTACTTCAGTTGTTCATAAATGAATTAGTCTTCTTCCATAGTATTCCTCTGCAGTGTGTAAATGAGCATGAGTAAGTCTGTATGTCTGCACATGTGAACAGAGACATACTGCTTCCTTTATGGTCTTTTCTGATGCCTGCATTCATCTTTTCATTGCTTATCTCACTGTGAGTGGTTAAACGAACACATAAAACATATAAGCCCTAACTGAATGTCCTCTTCTCTACTCATCTACTCATACATTCTGTCATGTCAACAAAATACACCCACTTCTCGTGTGTGTGTGTGTGTGTGTGTGTGTGTGTGTGTGTGCTCATAAATCACAGTAAACTTCATCAGAGCCGTGAGACTGATGTTTGACAGGTTCCTCGGGTCCTGCTCCGAACACACACACTGGAGTCTGAAGATCATCAGCACTGAAAACAAACTCTTAAGCGCTCCAGATTCTCCTCCAGAGCCTCATCCTTGGTTTATTACACTGAGACCCGGCTCACCTTCACTGGGAATGACTGGAGCTCTCCAGCACACATTAGAAAGCTTCCGGAGATTGTCCTCACGTATTTGGGGACCTCATTATATCTGAAGAGTTTGGTGAAATTATAGAGAAGACGAGCCTGCAGAATCACTCTCAGACCGAGCAGAGATCGACTTCACTGCGAAAAATCATGCTCTTCCTCAGAACTTCTGTCTGGTTTTCCAGTATAAATATCTAAACGTCTTAACTTGATGACTTTATGCTTAAAACAAGAGACAAAATGTCTACCAATGGAGTGTGAAAAATAATCTTGTTTTCCCTTTATATTACTGTAAATAGGTTTTTCTGATTCCATTGACAGATATTTGTTCTTGTTTTAGGTGTAAACATACAGTAAGTGATACATTTTTCAGAAAACAAGACTTATCGTAAGCAGGGTTTGTGCATGTCATGTTTTTGACAAATTAGACTCTAAAAAGGTCTTAAATCAGTATGTATTAAGGAAGTTTTAAGTTTTAAATTAAATGTTAAATGTTGCATTCACTGCAAAAATGATTGATCTTCTTAGTATATTGTCTTGTTTTCTAGTGCAAATATATAAACATCCTTAAATCAAGAATGAAGACATGAAGTCTTGTTTTCTGAGAAACTGAACAAAATGAAGTGAGTTTTTGATTAAAACAAGAACAAATATCAGTCCATGAGGAATGAAAACGTTTTTTTTAATTATTTGAATGAAGTTGATTTTTCTGAGGCCAGTGACAGATATTTGTTCTTGTTTTGGTCAAAAACTCACTTCACTTTGATCAGTTTCTCAGAAAACAAGACTTCTTATTTTGTCATTTTGCATCTCAGGTAAAACCATATTGATGTATTGTGTCCAATTCAATCAAATCTGCCTTCATCAAACGTGCAGAAACCTGGTTAAGTCATTTTACATCTCATGCAAACATCCTTAAATCAAGATACATTTATTTGAGAGGCAAAATAACATCAGATATTTGTTCTTGTTTTCAAAACGTATCAAAATTAAGTGACTTTACACTTAAAACAAGAAAAAAAAAATCAGAAAAATATGAAAAATATCTGACCTCACTTTCTAATATTTGTTCTTGTTTAAAGCTTTAACTCACTTTATTTTAATACATTTCTCAGAAAATAAGTCTTGATATATCGTTTTGCGTCTCTCAGTAAATGTATTTTGATTTAAGAATCTTTAGACATTTGTGCTGGAAAATGACAAAGACACTGAGGAAGAGCATCACTTTTTACAATGTTGCAAAAGTAACGGTAGTTTCACCATGTTTAAGAGGCATTTCACCCTGTTACTGTGGTAAAGTTAGTGCGCAAGGGATTTAGCGCCTTATTCAACATATGATGATGACATAACACTAAATTATGTCTACATTTCTACAAACCTGATGAAGAAACAAACGTGTGTGTGTGTGTGAGAGTGTGAGTGTGTGTGTGTGAGTATGAGTGAGAGAGAGAGAGAGAGAGAGTGTGTGTGTGAGTGTGTGTGTGTGTGTGTGTGTGTGTGTGTGACTCTGACCTCAGCGTTTCTCTCTCTGGTCTCAGGTCGTCATGGAGACAGCGGTTACTGGCCTTCTGACAATAACCCGATTGACATGAGCAGCCTGAACGGTGAGAATGATCTTGTATGAGCAGAACATCACAGCTGTTACTGTAAACACACGTACAGTAAACATCTAAACACTAAAACAATGCTGCTGAACACAAATATGCAAAGCTATTTTCAACATGCAATCGCAACATGAAATCAAGGTCAACTCTGAGTTTACTGACTGTGTTAATTAATGTTCCTGATCTTAATGTGAATGATTCATCAGTGACAAAATTCTGAAGACATAATGTCTTTAGAATCTTTCATCAGTAACTTCCTCCACCTGAGAAATGACTTTCCTCTTTATCTGTAGTTCAGTCTGTGCTCTGAATCTTCTGCTCGTTTCAATTGCTGTTTAGCTCAGAAATACACAGTCAGAAAGATGTTTAACTGTTTCTGTAAGACATTAATGCTTTTATTCATCAAGGATGCATTAAATTGATCAAAAGTGACAGTAAAGACATTTATAGTGATTCTATTTCAAATAAATGCTGTTCTTCTGAACTTTCTGTTCATCTGTGAATCCTGAAAAATAAAATGCATCACAGTTTCCACAGAAATATTGTGCAGCACAACTGTGTTCAACATTGATAATAATCAGAAATGTTTCTTGAGCAGCAAATCAGCATATTAGAATGATTTCTGAAGATCATGTGACACTGAAGACTGGAGTAATGATGCTGAAAATACAGCTGCGCATCACAGAAATACATTACAGCTTAACAGAGATTCACATAGAAAACAGCTGTTTTACATTTTAATAATATTTTATATTTTTTCTGTACGTTTGATCAAATAAATGCAGCCCTAGTGAGCAGATGACACTTCTTTCAAAAACTGACCCCAATCTTTTGATAGTGTTAGCATATAGAATATATGAGGCATAAACAGACATATTTTTACAAATAAATAAATAAACAAATGCGTTTCAAAAGACATAAATACACAAAGTACAAATATTAAACATTAGGGCATGTGTATGTGTGAATGTGTGTGACCAAGGCAGTGTAAAATATTAATTTGCATATGCAATAAAGCGTAAAATAAACAGTGAAATAATTACCCTTTTAACAGTCATAATCACAGTAAACGCGTATTAATTCCTCGTTTGAATTCTAAAGCTCAGTCGCCTGTGGACTGATTATAATTGCCAAGCAACATGATGATTAGAGATTATCTATAAACATGATCAATTCAGACATGTAGAAGTCAGCAGTTATCATCCACTGGCGCTCATGGCTTGTGTTTTAACCCAAAAATGAAAATTCTGTCATCATTTACTCACCTTTTTTCTGTTATTGCACCTAAAATGTAGAATAGTCTTCCGTTATGCGTTAGAACTGCTCAAACACTTTCTGATTTTAAATTCAAGTTAAAAACTCATTTGTTTTCTTTAGCTTTTAATGTATTGAAGAGATTAATATAATCTCTTTTATCGTTCGTCTTGTCTTGAATATTGTATTACTTGTATCAATGTAAAGCACTTTGGTCAACTCTGTTGTTTTAAATTGTGCTCTAGAAATAAACAAAAGAGGAAATTTTGAAGAATATTTGTGACCAGACAGATGACAGTAGCCATTGACGTAATATTTTTTTCTTACTATGGAGGTCACAGATATTATTCAAAATATCTTCTTTTGTCCTCAACAGAAGAATGAACTCACACAGGTTTGGAAGGACATGAGGGAGAGTAAATTATGATGAAAATGAACCGTACCTTTAAGCGACTGAACATGATGTGGGTGAAGCAGCACTGATTTTAATCAAAATATCTCATTTATCTGAAGAGCTGATGAACACAGGGGACCAAACCGACACACACACACACACACACACACACACTCACACTCACACACACACTCACACACACACTCACACACACACACACACAGAGTGCTAATGTTGAGGTGTGCATTGCGAGCTCAGTGTTGTTGATTTCAGAGCCTCCGATCGGTCAGATGCGGCCGCCTCATGGCAGCGTGACGCCGCAGAAGAACAGCAACCTGCTGGTGATCATCGTTGTTTCTGTGGGAGCTGTGACTGTGGTGGTGGTGGTGATCGTCGCCCTGATCTGCACCCGCCGCTCATCCGCACAGCAGAGGAAGTGAGGTTGTTG